GGCCTCCCAGAGGTCCTGGCTTGTCTGCTTTCAGGAAGATTTATCTTCTGAGACACTCAGTCTCCTTCAGTCATCAATGCTAATGAGAAGAAAAACCTTAGGAAATCCCATGTACAGTCCAAACCAAAAATCCTATTTATTCTGGCTAAACACTAAACAGAGCAATAGAAGAGGCTGTCATTTTATATTACAGTACTGTTACAAGTGTTAAATAAGAGAGTAATAGAAAAGGTAATTAAATGAAATTTAAAAAAAATCCACATGCTGTATGTTTTATGTTTGCTTTGTTAAATACAATAATAAGGACTCTGTCCAGTTAGTTAATGTTTTTGGAAATTTTTCCCACCTTACAGGAAGGGCATCAGGGTTGGAACTGCCGGACATTTAAGAATGCACAAAGTTTTTCAAGATTCTGAAATCCTCCTAGGGCAAAGACATCCCTTTTTAATATCTTTGGTGATTATGACAGTACTTAAAGTTTATTGTCTTATTGCTAAAGTCATATCAGCCCTTCTACACAGCCCTTAAAAATATTCTCTATTAAATGAGGTTAAGTCAGAGGTCCCAAGGATCACTTCAAACATAAACATGCATATATATATATATATATATATATATCTTAAAGTGCAAATAGCAAAATGTGCTTGTAAGAGAGAGAACTAAACTATCAGCCTAGTGAATGTTACCATGAGAGAGAAAGTTTAATTTAGCTTGTGCATCTCATGCTAAATAGCACCTGCTGAAGCAAACCAACGGATCCAAATGAAACAACTAGGAATAACTGGCAGAAGTACATGTCAGAGCCTTTCCTATTACAGATATAGAAAACTGCATACTCACATGCCTGTTTCTCCCTAGCCTTTACAGCAAGGCTTCAACCTCTCCTCCTCCTGCCCCACCTGTCATTCAGAGGGAACTGATAAAATCTGATGCTCTGTTAATGTCCAGCACCTGACCAACTCTTAAAGTTGCAGGTTATTAATAACTTTCTAGCTGCCATTAAATGCTTCTTATTTTCTGTGAAACCTAAACACACAGATACACATGCTCACATGCTGCTTCAGCCTACAGCACATCCAGAAGCCATAGCAACCACCAGAGAAATCTCAGCCTGCTTGGGCTGCACTCCCCAACAACCTTCTCCTCAGCACGTAAGATACTCTGGCTCTGTGTCAAACAGAGAGCGAGACAATTCACTTAAAACTTGCTGTTCAGAAGGGATAGTCAAGTATATTGCATTATTTCATGCTGTAGTCAAAGTTTCCACCTTTTCTTTGGTTATAGCATGGTACACATACCATTCAGGATATGGAAAGGAGTTGTGCTTTCTTTTAAATATGCTTAGGCTCACCTAAAATTTCAAATTCAAAGTTCAGTTGAGATCAATTTTTTTTAAAAGTAGCTACATCTACGTGTATAATGGACTGCAGTGGGGGAAACCACAATTAGCCATGAATCACTCTGGGGACAAGAGTGTTTGCACTCACAGGCTTTCAGACCTCACTAATACACTTTATTTTACAATCCAAGTGCTATTTTGCTCTCATGTAAATAGGGGGATTAGTAAGGCAGTGCTGTGAGACACACAGCCAGGACAGACACCTCCGCAAAGCAGGTCCACCTGCAACCTGAATCCCCCACAGCCATTCCTGCCCTACTCCTGCAATGCCCTGGAGCTCCCACAGTCACCGGCAGATCTGGGAACAGACTCCCCCCGAAACCTCTCTCCTCATCTGCTGCTGCATCACATCCCTGAGAGACTCCTGGCGTTACACCATGCTCTTCACCACATTCTGGAGAGCACACCATTTCCTACATTACTGCAATCCAAAGTGGGACATTAGGCAGCTCCATCCCTGCAGACTGTCTAAAGCAGAGTTAAGTAAGTCCCATCCACTGAGGTGAAAGTAAAATCAGTGATGGCTTTGATGTTTTAATGGGATATTTAACACATGCCAGAAATGTCTTTTCTGAAGAAATTAATGATTCAGTGGGGGAAAAAAAACACGCTGATTTTTTTTTTCCTGAAAAGGAAGAATGAAAAACTGAAAATCTTGATAAAAGATGCTCTTTTGTAGACTGAAACCACTGAAAAAAATTCTTCCTTACTCCGTCTTCCTTTTTGTCTTCTAAAGTAAATAAAAAACCTCCACAGCACTTGTCCCTTTTAAAATACAAAAATTGAGGAAAAAATGCTTTTCAAAATTCTCCATTTGATATCGCTGCAAGTGTTCAATTAACAACACCTACAGCGCTGTTTTAATCACATCTTGATCAAAGTAGTTGAGAAATATAGCTTAATATTTTCAGAGGTCATAGGAAGTTTGATGTCAGCAGAACCTTTAAAAGTGCCCCAATGTTCTTAACTGCATTTTACAAACTAGTTTTAAGCCTCCAGCAATGGACAGTAAAGTGTAGGTAATTTTAAAAAAAGGCAACTTATAAAATTCTCCTGAGCTTGCCATTTTAGTAAACTCCATTGGTGCACACTTGTTTTTCCTGTCTTCCCAAGACCCCTGGACTAATACAAATCTAATCAGTCCTAATTTCAGCATTCTGAACAAATCTAGGAAAGAAAATCTCTGCTGTTGCTTTATATGAATTTTATGCTGCAAAGTTAGAGTGACGACTTTGGATGTTGAATGTCACCTAGTGTTTCAAGTTCTCAGCTCACAGAGCTGGAAAGAGTCATGATGATCCAGCCACGTCTCCTTCATAAGCCAACTGCAGGATTCCTTGAGCAATTCTGTTGTCAGGGGCAGTGCTCAAACTGGGAAATCCCCCCACTCCAGTGATAGAGACTCCACCACAGCCTTTCATTGTTTTTAAGGAATTATTACACTCCCTTTTAAACAGATATAGCTTATTTATCCTCTGTATGTATTAATTTTCAAAACATTAAATTTTAATATCTCTGTTTGCTAGGCTGATGACCAGCTGTGTTTCCCTTGTAAGTATTTATCAGCCATGACATTATCTTAAAACCTTCCATGGTAAGTTTAATATATTGGGTCTCTACTTCTTCACTTCAAGATACATTTGCCAACTCTGCAAGTATTCTCCTGAGCAATAGCATCTTTCCCATTTTTAAGCTACTTCAGCTAACACATCATTTATAGGTAGAAGCCATATAAACAAACTATAACTCTTAGAAAAAAGCAAAGTTGCAGAAAACCACATTTCCATTTTGTTGGCAGTAGTTAGTTTCCAGTCTTCTGTACTCCTAAGCCAAGCTTAGTCCCACTCTGCAACTTCTGAGGAGCTGAAAGGATATTAGTGGGTGAAGCTGTGTCACAGCCTGCACCATCACAAAGTAGAGTGTGGAACCTCCTCACTCCTAAGGTTTATCAGTTCCTGCAATTGCATCCCTTTTGGCCTGCAGGAAGGAAATGCTCTGGCTGATCTTCAGCCTGTGGCTCCTGAATGTACTTTCTGTACTTGACCCACAGTCCCAAATAAAAGTCGAGAATCCAAGTATGTCATATTGGCCACATATCAGCTCCATCAAGCTGACTGACATTCCTCTGAGCAACTCTGGAATACAGAAAACAAGGATGTTCCCATAACTGCAGTCAGCCGGAGGCAAACAAATATGTCTGATGACAGTTGCTGGGGGCAGTGATGGTGACAGACCACTTTAGGAACTCTCCCATCTTCACAATAGCACCGGTGCAGCTGCCACACACATGCAGTGACAGACAGAGGTGGGAATGGCTAAGAAAACAACACACAGTATTATTCAAAACACATGTAGCTAACATGATATAATGCATGGTGAATAGTAAGTGCTTTTACATTCGTAGTGTGCCATAGGTGTCAGCAACGGTTTTATGATGAGTTGATTTCCTAATGGCTAAAAGACAGTAGAAACAAACATCTAGCTTTTGTATCCTTATTCTCAAGCTAATCTCACGTGCTATTAAAGAAATCCAAGAACCTAGCACAAACAAAGCCATAACTTCATGAAAATACCTGCTTATTAAGAACTGACACTTCCAAATGCACAAGATATTCAAAATGCATTATCTGTGTAGTGAAACCACAGCGACCCCACAGGTAGTAGGACAAACCTGCAGGTCACCTACACAAAGACAACAGTCTTCTGCAAGGAATTTACTTCTCAACGGGCCTCTCAGTTTTCCAGTAACACCAAATAATCCAAGTGGGAAAGAACAAGTGCCCTGGTCTTCCCCTGCCCCCCAATTCCCTCAGCTAAAACAATCCAATGCGGAATATGAGCTATTTTGGAAGTCCTTGTTCCAATTCTGGAAAAACACAAGTTCTAAATTTCCAATATTGACTTGATATTTTTTGGCAGGGGGTTGAAGAAAGCCAAGTCTATGAAGCTATCCTTCCCCTGCCCCTCAACTTGAGCAAACTAGAGTTACGGAGTTCCCGTGAAATTCTGCTACTGTAGTAAAAGGGAGTTTTCCCCTGTAGGTTAAATGAGATATTTTGATTACAGACGACTTTTCCATTTTTCTGTATTTTATAAACTTCCCTACACCTAAAAAAACCCACTTATAAGACTGTATGTTGCATAGAAATGCTTTGGTCACATTTTAACAGGTTACTAAAGAAGTCAACTTCTACCCATGAAACAGGGGTTTTATGCCACTCTTGTTTACTCAGGTGGAGAACAGCAAAGACCAGTGCTGTGTTAACCAAGTACTTGGTTAATTCCAAGTGTGGCAATTCTCCCCCTCAACTCTATTTTTCTACCCTGCATATTTGAAAGAAATAGGGCAACAGATTAACAGAGAAGTCTAAAGCAAGATTACTGGGGAATTAGCAAATTTACTCAATGAATTGTCCCATATCCACAGCCTGGACAACTTGCTCAATGCTGTTGTGGTATCTCAGCTTCAGCTGTAAGATTATTAGTTCCTCTCTTCTCTCATCTTCCTTTCCCATCAGTTTATATCCTGCTGAAGCAAAAAGTTCTTGACAAGAAGCTTACAGAGACAGGTCACCAAAGAAGCAATTTCTTCCACAAGAACTAACTCCTATAGGAGTGGGGTAATTTTTATTGAACTCTGAAATGATCAATTGCAAAGCACAGCAATAAAATCCAGAACTGGAACATTCAGTAACAGCCTGAAACATAGACTTGATTTCTATTGTCATAAGGGTTTGACATGCAGTTTTCACAGGACACTTAAAGCTTTAAAATTTCCTTTTAATCAGTGTAATTGCCCATTCCCTCCCCAATCCACACATTTGTTCTAAATTGCAGTGACTTCCTGATTTCTGAGAAGTAAGGCACTACAGTGTCCTTTCAAAGCAGTTACAGATTACCACAGCAGAGACTTCCCTCTGAGCTCTGAAGGTCAAGATTGTCCATGGAAAAAAATGCAACTGGTAACTGAAGATGTATATCTAGTGATGAATAACTAATCACCACTGCTACCAAAACAGCCATTCTATGTCATCTACCATCAGACTCGAGAGGAAGCCTTCAGTGCATAGAGCAGAATTAACAGTGTTCATCCTCTCACATAGGGAAACTGCTCTGTTCTGGAAAAATTCATTAAAGCTGTCCTGTTCAAGCTAGGGGACAGATTTTAAGCATAGTCTTCAACAACTGGTATGTTCATATGGCTCAGGACAAGGCACTGGATGAAGACCTCTACATTTATAATTTTGCAATAGGAGTTGCAGCCACTGCAATGCTTTCAATTGCACATTCATCAGTGCCACGGCGGATTCTGAAGTAACCATCTTCTCCCCATGAGGTGCCCCAGCTGTTCTTCACAATCCAGAATTTCTCACCACTTTCTGGGTCTGCACCATAGCCCACCAGCAAGACAGCATGATTGGTCAATTCAAAAGGATTTGAGTCATCTTGCAGCCCAGTATGATGGTAGATCCCCTCTTTATAAAGCATGAAATCATTATAAACCTCAAAGGCAACAGCCATTGGCCCATGCTGAACAAGCTCAAGTTTCATCAGGGCTTCATTGCAGCCTCCATAGAAACCACCAACGTAGTGGTACTCTGAAGTGTAGTAGTGGTAACAGCTGCGTTTGAAAAGGCATGGAGAATCTTGGGCTGTGTAAGGGAAGCAGTCCTCTTCCACCACACCAAAGTCTTGGACATACTTTCCAGCAATGAGATATGGGAAGCCACCATCACAACCTAAACAAAAAAAATATGTGCTTATTACCTCGGAGAGTTATTTGAGGTGGGAGCCTCTCCTACTTATATCTTTTGGAATACTTTCAGATATACTATTGAACATGCACTGCAGAGACCCAGACAATCCTAATATTCTAGTTAGCTGTAGCTAGCTTTCTGTAACACACAAGGCAAAATTCCCATTTGTGGGAACTATACTGGGAACGTTAATACATAGACCCCTTTCTCATTCAGTTGCTCCTGACAATCCCCGTCAGGAAGAGCAGTTAGTTACATGCAGCACAAAGACCTGACTAATAAGCATACAGTCCTCCAGAAAGCTTGAGTCATTGCTTTTGCTCATCTCCCCCTCCTTGTATGCTCCTCCTCCCTCTAAATATGCTACTGGAAGGATATTTAGTTCCATTCTTTCTAGGAATACATTGCAATTTAGCTACATTTTGAGCCCTACTCCTTAGATATTCCCCACGTCACAGGTAGATCTACCTAAAATCCAGTAACATCCCAAGCATGAGGCCACCTGCTCCTTATTCAGTCCCATCATCCATCCCACAAAGAGGTGGACTGACAACTCTGGAATTTTTTCCTGCAATCTTTAAAAAAATAAAAAAGTACTATAAAGTATAGCCTGCCAAAAACTTTATGAAAAAACTAAATTGTGTGCGATGGGGAAGGCACAGAAGTTTTTAATATACACTGTCCTTCTGCAGCATTATCAAAACTTGAAAGCTGTCGTTGTAAATACCAGCACACTTACCCTGAGAATACTGGCTGCAAGACACAACCTGCTGCGGACTAAAGATCGGTTTCTGAGTATTGTTTGTAAGGATACGTATTCTTGCTTCCAGCATGCCCATGGAGGAAAATGCATAACAGCTGCCACATGAGCCTAAGAAGGGGAGAAAACGGAACCATGAAGAGCAGTCAGTAACGCAAACAAGGCTAGTCACCTACAGTCAGGTACAACTAATTCCTAGAGTCCACTGAGTCAAAACCTACCAGATGTGATTAGAAGTTAAAAACCAATGGAGCAGAAACTTTATATCTACATTTAGCTTTTAAGCACACAATTAAAAAAACCACTTCTAACAACTTCTGAAGGAACACAGAGTTTATGCAAGAATAAGAGACAGCATACTGCTCTTCAGTGTTTTTTTCAGCAGTACCTTTTAAGAGCTATCCTATTATGCTATTCCTTCAGAATGAACCTAGAGGGACCGCATTACCAGGGCAGAGAAGTCTCAGTCTACCGCCTCAGACAACAACCCTTTATGGAGTACATATGCTAAGTGGCAATGAACTATTTGAAGTGAATGCTGACATTATTGTTCTTATTTCAACCTACCAATGGATTTAGTCCTGTAATCTCCAGTTGAAAAAATATTCCACCTCTCCAGCTACCCCTAAAACAACCAACTTTTAGAGACTAGTAGTATAAATAGAAGTTTGATATAGAGAATTCATCCCAGCTCCCCTTGCTTTCCAAGGGCACGTAACTGTACGCTGGCTTTTCAGAGGCACCCTAACTTCCCTTTGGTTTCCTGGCAGAGAGTTAAGTCTCCTTACTTTTGCATCAAAATTTAGTATTGCTTCTAGCTTTAGGCCTCTTCACTTCCTAGGACCTTCCTTTCACATATAAAAACCTTTAGAAGTGGAATGACAAGCATCACAGGGAAGAACAATTACTTGGATGGGGTCCTATTTTATCTACTGATTGTCACCAAGGTCCATGATTTCCTTTTGTTTCCTGACAGCAGGAAAGTCAAATATTGCAGAGCTATGAAAACAAGGGAGGCCTGAGGAACAAAACAAAATACTTTCTCTTGAACTGTGTGGGTGTATAAAAGCACAGCTATTACAAAAGCAAGATTTTGTGAAATTGCACCTTCACTCAGACGTATCTCAAAAGAGAAGGGGCAAAATCAGCCTGAACATGAACACTCCTTTGCCCAGCAGGGTAAAGTGAAGCAGTGAAAGATGCCACCCACTCACTATACAGTCACAGCATCTTAGATGGGCCACACTGAACACTTTGTTGCATCTTGTGTGCAAAAATGTAAAAAATACAATTCACACAACCATTTCAGTCCATTGGATTGGCTGCTAAATTTTTCTCCTGCTACCCCAGTGGCATTTATGAGGCTCACAGACTGACCTCTTTTGGAGGTTTTGTTTGTGTGTGGGGTTTTTGTTTGTTTATTTTTCTTTTTAAAGCCTGAAAGCTAAAATACTAATTTGATAGAACGGAATGGATATTCCACAGACATTTAACATACTCAGCATGGACTTTTAGATTACAGGAAAAGTGTAGGAAGCTTTATTATTGGAAACAACAGAGTAGCTCTCATTTAGAGAAACTCTGAAGCAACATACCGGAGAAAGGGTAAGTTTGGAACTAAGTGTTCAATTGTCTGGCAGCTAAAAGAGCCTTTGGTATATTCACAGTTCACACCAGGAGAAAGTAGAGGACTCACACCTACACAGGACCATATAATTTCCTGTTGCCATCTTCCAGTGATGCAATGTATCAGCTTGCAAGCTAGAACTCCCACAAGCCTTCCTATGCTTCTTCTGCTACCAGGAGCCCAGCTGGCAGAATAACTAACCCATAAATGAGGGATCAGTGATTTAAGTAACTCCTTCCCCACCATGCTAATGTTATGTTCCTTTCCCCAAAAAGTTGTAACTAGATAACTACCAGAAGATGCAAGTTTATTTGGAAATGGTAGTTCAGGCAAGGGACACATTAACTGAGTCCACTTCTGGCTTCCATTAATTCAGATCTAACCATCTAATTCAGGTCTCTCACACCACAGTGCTATAAAAGCACTTCCTACAGAATACACATATACCAGCATGGTATCCTTTTTATTCCACTTTAAGCTAAATAATTCCCTATCACAGGGCAAAGAAAAAAAATAGTTTTATCAGTATTCTATATTTATCAGTGTCCACAATTTTCACAGAGACTAATGCCTCCTCTTGCAACTAACCATTTAAGTAACTCCTAAATTTATCAGGAGGCAATATAAGCAATTTTCATGGGTTTATTCATTAAAGCTGCATGATAATTTGCCATCAGCAAGAATTAGGGAAAGGGTTTGATGTACATCAGTTCAGTGAGTGTACAGAAAACTGTGGCTGAGATGGATTGGACAAAACTTGAGAGCTGTCTTTATACAGCGTTCTGTGATAACTGGCCTTCACTCCAGCAAGCTACACTGCTGTCTGGATAAGCCAGTACCATCACCTATTTCAGTAGTGTTGGTAGCCAGGACTCCAACCAGTTTCCACAGGTTATTCATAGTAAAGGTGCAATCTCTCAGCTGTAAGACACTTCTTGCTAACAGCAAATTATGAAGTACATCAAAAGAGCACTAGAGCATTTCATTCAGAGCTTTTATTCATTTTTACCTTGATTCCGAATAGGGCTGACATAATTGACACCATTCACATTTCTCCAGTCCCAGGATTCTGGCAAGCTTGAAACTTTTTTTAGTAATTCAGGTGTTAGAGGTGCAGGCTTTGGTCTAAAGAGGAGAAAATGATTTTGAGAAACATACCATGCTCTAGACAAGGAAACAATTACATAACACTCAGTTTTCATCTTTTGGCTTCTACTAGTTGGACTTACTTCACACTATGCAATTTGAAATAGTCACCATCTAAATTGAGTGGGTGTCAATCTGAAGAGATTAGTTTCAGCAGGATGCAAGACCTACTCAAATATGCTCCCTGACGGAACTATATTATGAACTATCCACTGCTGAGGAATACACATTCAGTACAGGAAGCTCAGTTTGCAAGCTGCAGTGCCAGCTGCAGATTGAGTTCTGAGTGGCCCAGATGAGAGGTTGTGAACTGCCGACCCTTTGCATAACCAAGGGCCTGGGGACCTGCGGCCAAGCCACACCGGACACTCAGAGACACGGCAGGAGCCGAGGAGTCCAGATTTTCACCGCTTAGCCTGTGAGTGGATAAAAGCCCCAGGGTTTCTGTGTTTGGGGCCCCTCCACAGAAGTACCAGCTTAAGCTGTTATTTTGTTATTTAGTTATTGCATCAAGATTAAATTATTTTACGTATCTGGACATCTGAGACTCTGCTATGGGAAACCCGGAGTCAAGCCAGGAAGGAAACCTGGTCTGACTGCGTGAGTGTGGGCTCTGTAGCTGCAAAGGGGCCTCGGTTCCAGCTCAGGTGCTGTGAGAGTGACTGCCAGAGTGGCTTCTGCATGGTCAAACAGGGACGTTTCCTTCACATCTACAAGCTGCTGAGGTCAAATACCTTTGTGCTCATCTGAAGTGCTGAGGGACACTGCAACACAGTTCTGCAGCAGATATTTTACACCTCTGCTATCACGAGGTATGTAAAATATCTGACTGCAGAAGGCACCTTGTCTTGGCAGCATGCACTGACAGCAGCTACAGACTGTTTAACTGCAGACAGACATGGCTTACATCAACACTTCACTAGATGTAGTACCACTTGTCTCAGAAACTTCTCTGGAGCAAGTTTTTACTGTGACTATTGAAGAAGTATTGAATGTTACTTTCCTCATTTACCACTTGCAGCCAAGTGATGTTCATACATCAGCAAGCCAAGAGCTTTCTGTATTCAGCCTTCACACAAACCAATGCTTGTCCCTAGGTGCCATTCACAAATACCAGACACTGGAATCTGTTCTGAAAGCAGGAGAGGGCCAACCAAATACCATCATGGCACTGTATGGGTGCGACAGGTTATTGTTACCAAGTAGTTTACTGTATTTGAAGATGATCTACAAAGTGAGTTCTGTCTATATGATGAAACCATGATAATTTGCATAATTATCCCACACAAATCAGCAGTTTTATTGTAGAGTAGGACCTTCTTCTACAACACACAATTGCCACAGTTTGGAAAACTAAGTAGCATTCCTACTCACAGGAATACCAAGAGTGAAAAAAGCAAAAATGCCAAGAAGGTAGAAAGCTGTAAAGAAGAGAATCTTTAGATCAAAGAACTCTAGTTTGCAAATTAATCTAGAGGATGATGTAGAAATCCCCATTACTGCTCTCTGCTCAGTGATCTGCAAGACCCTGAAGGCATTCTTGGGGCTGCTTTCATGCTTCTTCAGTGAGACACTACTCCTGTTAGAGCATCCTGTTGAAGGCATGGCAAATTATCAAAGTAATCAGGGAATTCCCTCAGAAATCTTTAATATTTATGTTTAATGGTAGAATGCAGTTCACTGCTTTCTAATTGCAATTATGAACTAGCAGAACCAGGACAAAGTACAAGCAGAAACTCCTGACTGTGGCAAACAGCTGATGAGCAGACACGAGAGTGAGATGACAACCGAGACCGTCCCACTTCTTCCCTGCACATACGAATTCAGCAGCGAGCTACTGGGCAAGGTTAAAGGGTAGGTTACTCTATTTGTCTCAACTGCTTGAGATGATAGATGCTCACAATAATCATTCAAATGAAAACTATGTTGGGACCCCATGACTATGAGCTGGAAGGCCCTGAAACTTGATTAAACATCTGACCTACAAGCCAAAATACAGCTAGAAAGCGCCAGGACAAATATAAGCAGAGTCTTGGCAGCAGCGAAGTTTATGGCAAAACAAAAGGTTTTGTTTTGTTTCAACTACCTTGAAGCTCTGGAATAGAGACCCCCAGCTCTTCTAGTTAGTTCTTCCAGGGCAAAATGCTCATACTCCTTGTATCTTGCTGCTCTCCACGACTTCTGATGAGCATTGATAGCATTTACGAAATCAGAGTTGTGCACATAACGCCTGCCTGAAAGTCTGCAAACAAAAGCAACCAAATAAAACAGTAAGAAAAGGACAGATTGAAAAATAAAGGTGTTCTCTAAACTCAGTATGTAAAAGACTAACTCTGGAAGTGTCTTGTGGTAGGTACTGATAAAGAAACATGGAAATATTGGATCAAGACAAGGTTCCTTAAACTTGAGACTGACTAGATATAATCATCTTGCTTAGACATGCCAGTTTTGTAACTGAGCTTCGCCACGGGAGAAACTCTGATGTGATAGGCACACGCTCCTCTGTTTTAGTGCATTCAGGTTTTATTTCCAACATTATAACTGGTATTAACTTTGCCTTCAGTAATGGAATTGGTCCTTAGGGTTTTAGTTAAAACCTGAAGGACAGTTATGAAACATTTTATTCCAGTAAAAGCTCACTTATCTGTTGCTTACCTTCCCCTGGGCTTCTGGAGAGGCAGCTCGTTTATGTGAACATCTGAAGGAGATGAAGTAATCTTCTGTCCAATGAAACAAGCCCAATTGTGGCCAAGTACATCATGTACCCATCCTGGTAGAGTCTCATTACAGTAGCTGGTTACATTCTGGCCTTCTTTTTTGTACTGTAATGTGAAGAAGTTATGCTGGTGTTGAGCAGATGCATTTGTTAGCCTAACAGCAGTTCCCCACCCACTCAGCTGCTTCTTGCCTGTGTTTCAGAGGAAGTGACCAAACATATACTCCAGAGGTTAAGTAGATAAATGAAACTGATACTTATCAAATCACTGCAGAAGACAATCAGGTTGTGACTTGCACTATTAGCAACAAAGCATGCATTAATATCAGTATCAACTAACAGGTGCTAGTTGTTTGGGTTCAACAGTTACTTTCTCAGCAAGATGCAAAAGACCTCTTAGTACTTACCCTTCTCTTCAAGGCCCTGAGGTTTGTTGCTCCACATATGTGACTAGTCAAGCTAACTCTGGACTACTTCAAAAGTTTGAGAAACTAGGACTCAAACACAGGAAGGATAGCAAGTTTCTCTCATCCAGTAACCTCTCAGGGAAACATGTACTATTTCTATATTTATTTGTGTGTAATTTACGTACTGTTTTTGTTTTACAAGTCAGAACCAAAGATGAGACTTCCTGCAACTGCTTAAAGCTTGAGCTGTGATGGTACAGCATCAAGAAACAACTTCACGTGAACTATCAAAATGAAACAGTATGAAATGATGATCCATTGAGAACAACTCATTTAAAGTTGGCAGTGAGGAGAGTGTTACTAAGGTCTCAAGTCCTGAGTCCTAACACTTCCCTGTTCACACAAGTCTTCATTTTAGTACTGAAGACTAATAATGTTACGTATTCAGTAAAATGTGTCTTCATACAACAGTTAGCACTAACACTTTACCCAGCTACGTAAGTTTTCTGAATTAGCAATTCTTTGACAGGCAGAATGTCTCAGGATGGGGCAGGGGGCGTGTGGTTCTTTACTCATTACTCATCTCTTAAGGTTAGAGCCTGTTTTGTATTAAACTACAAAGGAGTCTGAAAATCCCATGCAACAGAAGCTTTAACTTTACTCTTCTAATCACAAAAATAGAATCCAAGTTTCCTAGTCCAAAAATACTTCCTTAAATCTCATTGGAATTGCACATGTACAACAGTACAGGGATTTTGGAACTATGTTTCAACAAAATGCTTGCTCAGCTTCTTTACTGAAGAAAGTGGTGGTTTTTGGTGACGGAAATGCCCCAAGATGGAAATGAGTAATTAAAGAGACAGGGGGATTGTGACTCTGTACAGGTTTTGTGGGAAATCTGAAGGAGAACATGTAGTGAAATAATTAAGTTTATCGATCAAAGGAATAAAAGGCTAATTCTCTGTTTTAGAACAGGAATTTGCTTTGTCCCCAGTCTGGAGGTTGCAGAGGCTTCATATCTACACTCCTGCTTGTCTAGCAAGGCAAGCAAGTTTGCCGACTGGAGCAGCATGGGGGCACTAGGAAGCTGAGCTGTTGCCTTGCTCTATTCATCTTCTCTTATTGTGCAGGACTGTGCAATATAGGATATAACTACACTTGGCCACATAGCAAGGGTAAGGTCCAGAGACAATTTGAGAAATACCCTCTTCACAACAGGAGTGCTAGAAATCCAGACACCCAAAAGCAACAGGTTAGTGACTTTACATCTGTAATTTACTGTGAGATCACTTTATTGGCTCTACACGACAGCATTAAATTAATACCTGTCTTTTTTATGTAAAAGTAGCCACAGATTATAACAAGACCAAGTACAGCTATTCTCAATAAACACAGGCCTTCAATCTAAATACGTGAAGATTAGAGGAACAGGCCTGCTTCCTGCAACAATCAGACACATATCCTGCCTAGTATACAGTTATACTGAATTAAATTAAAATTAAATTAGATTTAGGACTTAACTCGTTGCCTTTTTTTTCCATGAAGACATCCGATAACTAGCAAATTAAAACAACAAAATGCCTTTTTTTTCTGTTTTGTTTTTCTCTCCTAAAAATCCCTGTCCTTTCCCAGGAGATCAAATTCATTGCTTTTTTAAAGATGTAGATAAACCAGAATAGCATTCACAACATTTGTGCAACTTATCTTTCGGGACAGTGAATTTAGCAAGTTTCTTACACTGTTCTTTCAGTCCATACATATCAGCAAAACTAGGAAGGGGGTAAGAGGACAGTCAGTGGCAATGCCTCAAGACACAAAAGCCAATTTCAGACAGTCTGTGTAGAAGCCTAAAATTAGGTAATTCAAATCCTCTGTAGCTAACTTTTTGTAGACTGGCAGACTATGAGCTACTACTGAACTGACTTTAAAAAGGGGACACAGAGACTTTGAGACCATAGCACATCAAATGATACCTGGATGAAGAGAATTTAACCTCAAAGAAGCACAGTCAGCTAGGAAATGAAAATATACCCGGAAGGTCCCAATTTGCCTTTCCCCCCCGACTTGTAATTGAGAGCCACTGATGCAGCGAAGTGACCGAGAAACCTTTAAAAAAACTCCAATATTTATGCTTCATTTCTACAAGCCAGTTAATTACCCATTGAACCACATGTTAGAAGAAATAAAATGGGGTAGCATCGTCATAGGTGCCATGACAATGACACCCACTGCTTACTACCAGAAAGTACACCACCAAATTAGCACATCATTTCTAAAACCACAGGCAGCATTTCTTACTGCTACCAGTGAAGGTCTGAGAGATTTGATCTGGCAAATCTGATTGTACCAGTGTAATGGTTTTAGAGGACTGACTATGAGTATGCCTGCCCAAATAACAATCATACAGGGACACGGCACCACTGCATGAACAACAGCTGACTCAGCTGGACGTGAATTTTAACATCAGACCCCAAAGAAGCTGCCAGCACAGCACCTAAAACATCCACAGAACCCATCCTGTAACAGCATCCTTCATGAAGGACAACAGCCAGACAGCTCTGATCACCAGCAACTGCTGGACAACTGCTGCATGCATTTTCTCTGCAGACCTAAGATGATGGTTTTCTTTTCTGAGTTAATAAGAGACCACTGCAACCATGCCACGTGGTAACTTCATCAGCCAATGCTCACATCCGCAGCATTAAGTAAACTGCATCCAGTGATCTGACCAGTCTAGGACAACTCCTGTAAAAAGGCACCAAATATATTCAACAGTTCCAATTCTGAGGTTTAAGCTTTAATTCTATTTCAAATGCATATTTTTCTCAAGCCTGACAACTCACACGACTTTGCCTAATGCCAGAATTTAGCCAAGCCACTCCAACAACATTAACCTTAAAAGGCTTCATGTAACTAGACTTCGAAGACTGCTGTCAGATACTTGAACCCCAGGTAAGGTTTTTGGTGCAGTATACTTTTAATAGCATCTTTCCTGTGTTGGTCATCATGACAATCTATCTGCATATTCACTTCTAGTCCTGGTAAAAAAACATAATTGTTTAAAGCTTTCTTTAAATCTTTAATCTCACTAAGGGGAAAGCACAAAAGGATGGAGACCTTATTGGAAACGTTATTTTAACAGGGATTCAGCAGTGCTACAAACACAGGCTGCCCACCCATCCCCTTTTACATCTAATGTTCTCAACTCAAGCAGTGCTTGGGCAAGAAGCCAACTTGAGTTCTAGGGGGCCGGACTACCCTATACACTTAGAGGACTTGGCAATCACCAACCATAGGAAGTTCAACAAGGGGAAGTGCCAGATTCTGCACCTGGGATGGGGCAACCCTGGATGTACGTACAGACTGGGCAATGAGATGCTGGAAAGCAGTGCCACAGAAAGGGACTTGGGGTCCTGGTTGACAGTAAGTTGAATATGAGTCAGCAGTGCCCCAGCAGCCAGGAGGGCCAACCATGTCCTGAGGGGCATCAGGTAGAGCGTTGCCAGCCAGTTGAGGGAGCGAATTGTCCTGCTCTGCTCTGCATTGTGGTGGCCTCACCTCGAATACTGTGTTGCAGTTTTTGGGCACCACAATATAGGAAAGATATTAAGCTCTTACAGAGCATCCCATCCTAAGGAGGGCAATGAATATGGTGAAGGGCCTTGAGGGGAAGTCGTATGAGAAGCGGTTGAGGTCACTTGGTCTGTTCAGCAGATAAAGAGGAGAAGAGGAGACTGAGGGGAGACCTCATTGCAGGTCTCATGTACAACTTCCTCATGAGGGGAAGAGGAGGAGCAGGCACTGATCTCTTCTCTCTGGTGACCAGGGACAGGACCCAAAGGAATGGCCTGAATTTGTGTCAGGGGAGGTTTAGGTTGGATATTAGAGAAAGGTTCTTCACCCAGAGGGTCACTGGACACTGGAACAGGCTGCCCAGGGAAGTGGTCACAGCACCAAGCCTGACAATTCAAGAATCATTTGAACAATACTCTCAGGCACATGGTGTGACTCTTTGGGATGGTCCTGTGCAGGGCCAGGATTTGGACTCGATGATCCTTGTGGGTCCCTTCCAACTTGGCATATTCTGTGATTAAGCCTGGTGGAAAGACTTATCACTCATTTGTTACCAAATTTACAAGTGTGGCTATGCATTTTAATACAGAAAGCACACACTGAATTAGAACAGAGTTGCAGACTTGCAGATGCCCTACTGTACAAAAATACAGAAGATTATGTTAGCAGAACAAAGTACTGCATCTTGCTACCTGATATAAAATGCAAGCAAGTATCAACTGTAGGGGCATTTTCTTTACTCTAGAGAACATTCTCAAATTCTGAGACCTGTGCTTTCAGATTTACACTTTAGGGAAGCAGCAGTTGCACACTGCCAGTTAAGGGAGCCCAACTAAGACAGGTTAAAAGTTGACTTTCAAGTGATATGTAGAATGATTAAATAGCATTAGCAGCTCTAGCACTTCTACTTTAGCATATGAAATGAAATGAATTCAGGGGTTTTTTTTCACATCTCAAAATTTAAACATAAACTACTGTCACATATCGAGGCTGGTTATTTCAGAACGGTAGTCCTTGATTTTAACCAAATTTGGGAGCATTGGGGAAGAGAGAAAAGGATGTGACAAAGATATCACTGAGTCAGTCTGGAAAAGACTAGTAACTTGAGTGGTGGAATATTCTATTATCTACTTCTTTCTTTTTGCTGAAGTGATTATACTGTTTCAAAATGAAAAAAATGCCAGAGTTGTGGTTTTTGCTAAAGGACATCTCAGAAGTCAGAATTAGTACCAGTTAGCTTAAGGTACAAACAGCAAGAACCTTACAACACTGTCTCCCTCAAAGTGGTAGTCTCAGCAATAAATACCTTAAAGCTATAAATAATTGAAATTAGTTAGCCTCAACTTTCCTTTCAGCCTCACTCTATCTTTTTATGTTATGTTGTTTCTATTTCTTTTGCCATCCTTCGGGGAAAAAATAAAAACTTTAAAGCCTCATATATTGCATAGCCCTAAAGAATCCTTGTGTCATCCAGCAGAAGCACATGCTCAAGCTTCTGCTAAGTCAGTAACTAAATTCATATCCAAGTTCAGTATAGGGATGTTTCAGCAGCACACATTAAACAAGAGTATTTCTGTAAAACAAACAAGTTACTCTGTGCTGCAAACAAACAGCAAGAAGAATAACTATGACTTGTCAGAAGCAGAATGCAAGAATACAGTAGGATGTTGCATTTAACTTGGAAAACTTAAGAGAACAGTAATACAATGATAGTTAGAAATAAAACACTGTTAGAGTTTCTTTACTTAAGATACTAAAGCAAACTGAGGAAAAAATGCATAGATAAGCTCACTCAATCCACTCCTTTGGTGTATATAATCATTTCCCCACAGGCCCCAAGTCAAAGAACAACTAACTTGTAATGGTAGTGAGGCCCCACGAAAGTCTTAGTGGATGTCTGTTTAGCAAGCCACAGGAACAAAAAGCTTAATAACTCACTGACACATGCATCATCCAACAGGCTGTGTCTATATATACACAGTACAGTAGCTCTGATAAACCCACCACTTAAGGCAAGCTCACAGCATTCTGGTCAGTAATTAATAGCTTAATTTTTTAACATGAAGCAGAAATACACCAGAAGTTCAATTAGCACCAGTGGCACTTCTATGCCTGAAACACACAGACTACACTAACGGCTTAAATACTGCTCTTCATTGTGCCAAGCAACTCCATCTCTCTTCAATGTCAGAACAGGAGCATTACAGAATACAAGTTACAGGACCATAGTATATAAAAAGGATGTTTCTTCTGCCCTGTCACCATGATGAGGTTTTAGCCACATAACTTTAGCGCAACATAAAAAGAATTTGAAACTGATGAGCAGCCTTTAAGCAATAAACACTTGCTTGACAAGCCCAAACCCACTACTATGGAAAGAGATATGCAAGGCTTTCTGTATCATGGCTGTTCCAATACCACAACCCACTCCATGAACCAAGAAATTATTCCACAATCAAGCAGTAACTCCAGAACCACGTTCACACTCTAAGGTTACTTCAGAGTGAATTAAGTAATTTTACCAAGTAGAAAAAAATACAGCAAATTACTCCATATTAAACATATTAGTTCTTTCTTATTGTAGAGCAAGAGGCTACCAGCAAAGAAAATTCTTCCCTTCCATGAATTCCAAAGGGACTTTGTCTTATGACCTTTCAAATACTCAACAGTGATCAAGGCTAAGCAATATACTATGAGATTGCTTTTACGCTTTCCTCTTACTGCATTTCCAGAGAGGAAGGCCCTTGCCAGTTAGTATTATAGTTTACCCTTTTTACTCAAAAGGCTTCTCAAGTATGACCAACACTAAGCAAATTAAGTCTGCTATGTTTATGTTACCTTCAGGTGCAAATGGTAGGAGTATTTTAAACAATAGGCAAACATTGTTCAAAAAACTCTGAAGCCTGCATTGAATGGAATATATTACTTATTCCCTAAAAATTTTAGGGTAGAAGATGATGAAAATCGTCTTACAAAAGAATTAGTTGCATTTGAAAGATAAAACCACATTTCTAGTTTCTACCAGGACTAGACATTTTGTATTTCTATTTCATATGTAATGCAGTATTTACTGGATTAAAAGTAAACAGATATGCACAGCTAAATATGTCACAAAGTCAAACAGTTTGTAAGGAACCACTTCCTCCCTCCAAGTCCCCACTGATGGTTGTGAAGTAAGAATTTTGGAGATAGACAGCATTGCATGTTGTTGCCCAATAACATCAAGTAGTTATCTGCAGCAAAAAACCGCAATTATTAAGTGCTGTGGTATTTCCTCAGCCTTCTCAGACATTTTACATGCATCTTGGTAATCTATTGTTTCCTTTAGAGCAGGAAAACTAATAGATGGTAACCGAATTTGGCTCTAATCCTCTCTATAATGTCTAAGAAAAGAAGTCTTTAAATTAAAGATGTCTTGCTGATGAATTCCCGACTACTGAACAATGAGCCAAACAAGCTTGCCATTTCTCAGTACCAAAGGTGACTGCAAAACTAACAATTAATGCATTTGCTCACAAACGGCTAAAACACATACATGATTTGACTGGCCTTGTTTTGAGCAACAAGGTGAATCAGATGACCACCAAAAGTTCCTTCCAACCTAAATTATTCTATAAAAGTTTTGGCATATTGTTTTAAGATTATTGATTACTTGACTTAGTGCTCATGTTCTGGGATGTATTTCACAAGGTACATCACAAGCAGAAGCAGATCCTTCTCTGACTCTCAACTGTCTTCAAGTTGGCTCCTAACAGATCCATTTATGTTCCAGAGCAGGCCACACACTGTTTCTATGATTGCACTGCTCACATACAAGAACTAATTTGATAATCAGCACCTGTTTCACTGCTCAGCATACTGGCTTGTAAAGCCACTCTGTATTTTAGTGTAAAAATATCAGCTTAAGGATTCCCAGTCTGCTAGTTCAACTATATTCTCCTCAAATGAGTTCAACAACTGCTGAATTCTACCTGCCAGACACGACACCTCAAGCCTGAGTTCATGGAAATACTATAGCATAGTGTTCCACCGTCCTCAGAGGCAGCAATTCCTGCTACTTTTGAGGGAGGCCCTCCCACTGTAGGTAGGCTCATAGATGTGTCCCTGCCTAAGAAGTTTCAGAACGATTCTGCCCAATTAGACTACCTTTCAGTGTCCATACAGTTTTTGGTGTATCACCTGCCAAAGCTATGAGAAGTGCACATAGCAGCAATTTAATTTCACTGTCTTATACAGATGAGAATGTCAATCAGGTATTTCTCTCTCACACAAGTATAAGACCCCGTCTTATTTTTAAAAACTGCATTCTTATTTTAAAAATTTACAGTTATAAGAGTGCACTAGTCTTGACAGTCATTTATAGCAGCTGATATAGTGCCACATTTTTAACTTGTGAAGAAAACAGTGTTGATAATTCAGAGGTGTTTTAGTTATTGTTGAGCAGCACTTACACAGCATCGAGGCCTCACCTGCTCCTCAGAGAGCCCTGCCAGCAAGTAGGCTGGGGGTGCACAAGAAACTGGGAGAGGACACAGCCTGGACAGCTGACCCCAACTGACCAAAGGGATATTCCATGCCGTACAATATCACGTATAGAAATAACAGTTGAGGAAAGAAGGAAAAAAGAGGAACGTTCAGAATCATGTCATCTGCCTTCTTGTGTAACAGTCACGCATGATGAAGAGCCACTTCATGGAAATTGCTAAAGACCTGCTTACTGGTGACAAGTAGTGAACGAATTCCTTATTGTGCTTTGCTTGCCTACACAGCTTTTGCTTTACCTGTTAAAGTACCTTTATCTCAATCCATGAGTTTTTGCACTTCTATCCTTCCAATTCTCTCCCCTGTCCCACTGGGGGGGAACAAGCAAGTGGTTGATTGGAGCTTTGCTACTTATCAGGGTAACCCCTATCTACACACTGGGGTTAACCTAACCCCCCATTAGTTATGTTAAACAGCCTACACAGTCCTTTACCTTACATGAGCTCAAATTGACACACAGAAAGCTGCAAGGAACTTGTAGTTAAATTCAGGCCTTGTACATCACTTCTGTTCAGTAAGGATTACAATTCTCCTGGGAGAGCAGATTATCACTTTTCTTAACATCTGAAAACACTGACTTTAAAACAGCTACTGTAAAATAAACCATCTATGATGGCGCCTAGAAAGACGATGTAAAGCAAAAGTAATTTCTTCACCCTCCTTCTACTAGTGAAGGTTCAGTGATTTTGTGCTTGGACAAGGCCTAGGTGTTTACTGCTGACTCATCTGAAGCCAAGATCATGCTTCCTGAAAAAACCAAGAAACATGTTCACTGTTCCTGCCCAGGACTGCATTCATCAACTATTGCAAAACATATGTCTCCCAGGTAGCAAAGTTATCCTGCAGAGATTACTTCAAACCACCCTTCAGACTCACAATGCCACTCACTGGGACAGCAGCAGAGCACTCCTTTAACAAGAGAGTTTTCTCCTGTCTACCCCCTGCCTGCCATCACTGTTTTCAGCTTGGTATGAAGTCATTAACAGGGACTGGAGAAAACAGTATTACTCCAGATGAATAATTATAGGCAGCATAAAGGTTCCTGAGATATTAAAGCAGTATTCTGAAATAAAATTTAAAGAATCCTATAAATCCTTCAGCAAGGAGAACAGAAGGCTCCAAAATTTCCATGCATTAGAAAACATCTTTAAGGAAAGATAAAAGGAATGGTGTTTGCTATTTCACATGGGTCCACAGTGTCAAGAAAAGTAAAAAAAAAAAAAAGAAAAGAAAAAAATTCTGGCTACTAAAAGAGTTAGTTTCATGAAGGCCTACAATTGTTTCAAGCATGCCAAGAAAGGAAAGCAGCAGCAGCATCTGTAATTTTTTTCAGATAATGCCCAGTATGGGCATTACTCTCTACCCAGGCACTGATAACTGTTTCCTTATGTTAAAACAATTCTTTGTCTAGTAATCTAGGCAAATCTTAGAATCAAATATAATAAGTGTCCCAACTGACCTACCATGCCACTCAGGGACTGAAGAGAAGCCTAACTATAAGCCATTTTAGCAACAGCCAGTGATCTAGTACACACCAAGTTAACTCACCTTAAAAAATGCAAACCACTTGTAGTCATTTATCACAATTTCAAAGCCTTGATTGTAAATCAAAGTGAAGAAACCATAGTTGCCCAGACTATCTTGAGCCACATCTAACTTCTGAAGGTTGACAAGCACCTTTTTCTCCACAGGCCCTAAAAGAAATACAATCATTACAGCATGATTACTGTGTGGAAGAGATTAAAAGCTAAATAGTAACTCCCCGCTACTATTATCTCCTCGCGGGTATTTCCACGGGGCGCGGTATTTCCAGCTCTCCGGATGCTGTCAGGCTCCCCCGACAGCCAGCTCTGGCAGCCGGTGGCTTCCCAGGAGGTGCCAGGTGTGTCGCCCAGCACAGCCACGCTCTCCTCCTGGTCACAGCCACTGCCCGGGCAGGCTGAGCTGGGCACGGAGGCACCTGTGAGGGGCAGTGAGCAGGCAAGAGCCGTGGGGCTCATCAAGAGGCCTAGTCGAGCCCTAACCGAAACAAACAGAAGTGGTCAGATGCACTTCCATGCAGGAACCCGCCTCCTGTGCCGGCTCTGGGTTCTCCCGGCACGGAGCCGCCGTTGCTCCCACCCCCCCCCCCATCTCCTCGGGCTCCCCGGAACACCCTCTCCCCCTCCCGGAGCGGCTGTGGGCACCCGGGGCTCCGCGGGGAAGGGGAACTGGCCAGGGCCGCCGCGGTCTCACCCGCCTGCGAGCAGTTGCCGTGGCGGCCGCCGGCCCGCCAGACGCGGAGCTCCCAGGCGCCCAGCAGGTCGGCGAAGGAGCAGTTGGCCGGCGTGTCGGCCACCACGGCCGCGGGCGGCGCCGCCAGCAGCACCAGCGCCACGGCCCCCAGCGCCCACCCCGCCATTGCACCGCGCCCGCAGCCGCCGCCTCCGCTGAAGTGGGCCGGGATGCCTCCACCTCCCCGCCCCGCCACCTCCCCGCCCCCGGGGCCGGGCCCGCCCCGGGCCGGCTGAGCTCCGCCGGGAGGGGCAGGGCCTCCTCCACCCCGGAGGGTGTTCATTCCAAACGGCGTCCTCTGCTGCGAAGGGCGCCCGCGTCTCCAAAGGGCATCCTGCCTCGCAAAGGGCATCCTCCTCACCGAAAAGCATCCCCCGCCCCAAAAGTTGTCCTCTCCGACGGGAGTCCTCCTGCCCAACGGGCATCTTCTTCCTCAAAGCCCATCTACCTCCCTGAAAGGCATCCTTCCCTCAAAGGGCAGCCTCCTGCCCAGATCCCCTGTACCGCTACCCAGCCTCAAGCCTGGGCACTCGCGAGGTCCCCCGCAGAGGGGCAGCCGGACGAGGCTGGTCCCCAGGGTCACTGCAGGTCTTGCTGCTGTGGAGCATGAGGGTTCTTGTTCGCCGTGGGTTTAGCGGCACAAAGTCACTCAGAGTTTCTGAAGCAGCCTCACGTCATAGCCGGGAAGCCATGCGGCAGCAGTCCTGCTCGGGATGTAACCCAAAAACCTGTACCATCTTTGAGACCCTTTGTACACAATAGCAGTCAACAAAAAGCATGGAAAATCCCCCCTGAAAGTGGAAGCTTCAGTGATCTGCAAAATCCCGCACATCCAACAACCGGAATGTTTGCAGGGGACAGGTGTCGTCTAAGGCAGAGATGTCTCCACCAAACTGTGAGACTCTGAGTGTAGCCTCCGAGTGCACAACTGGGTGTGCAGGGAAGTGGTTCTTCCGCTGCTGTCTCTCCAGATGCAAAATGTGCCTACTTTCACATCCCCAAAGATATATGTGCAATCAAGAAGTCTAAAATACTTGCTGATGAGTAAATATACCCTAATTTAAAAAAAAGAATTATATATAAAAAAACCCTTTCCAGGGAACAATAAATACATATAGTATGAAAATGTTGGCTATGAAAATGATGCACTAGCTTAACTACGGATATAAATTTATAATGAATTTTGTGTGTTAAACTGGTATAAATCTACATGTAGATGCTCATCACAGATTTCAACAGTGCAGCTTTAAATAACTCACTTATGAGCTAAACTAGGTTTAAACTATGTGTCCATTTTTTTGTAATTGATTTAAATCAGGGGATTAGGAATTATATCAGTAAATTTTAACTGATTTAAGTAATACATTATTTTACCACAGTCACTTTGCTTTTATTCTGTCTTCTCAGCCTTTTGGGGAAGGATTAATTTGACACTTTGCTGCTGACTCTTAGAGCAACCAGCTAATAGATGTTCTTATTCAGACTAGCAAAGAGATAAAAACCACATTGCACTTGTCTAGGGACTGTCTTTTAAGGATCCTAAAGCACTGACTTGGTTGGGAAAGCAGAATTTCCTCCATTTCACAGACAAGAAAATAAACGCTGCTTCAATTCACTAAGACTGTGTTGTCTAATAGGGTTATGGTATTAAAAAACAGAGCTCTAGGTTGTTTTTTTGCAAAGGCAGCTACATTTTGCTGGACATGCCATAGAAGTGCATGCACCTTGCCATTCCTGATCAAACCTCTCTAATGAAATGCGGCTATGCAGCACCCCCCTTTTCAGAGAGCAACCCAAACATTTCCAATGACCTTAGAAGAAGGAGGTCTGTGTTACAGTTATTCCTGTTTTATTTGCAAGAGCAGAAAAGGTCTGTGGTATCTCCATCTCATCCCCATGACACTGGTTGGATGATCCTGCCTCTTTGCATTTTGCAACGCTTTGAGCCTCAATTTTCAGTTTCAATTTGTAGCCACTGCAGTGTCATTGTGCAGAAACATATGGGTTTCTCTAATTGCCTTGGAGTTACAATAGATAATTGAAAATAGAGGTGTATTTTACATAATGAGGTTGTACAATGGTCACTGAGAACAGGCTGAGATGGTTCAGTCAGGCCTATTGAGTCACAATAGATAATTGAAAATAGAGGTGTATTTTACATAATGAGGTTGTACAATGGTCACTGAGAACAGGCTGAGATGGTTCAGTCAGGCCTATTGAGTTCAATCCAGTTCTGGTCCTTAGCTGTAATTTATTTTACCTGTGTAAAATAAAGGCAGTCCCTGTGCTTTCTCTCCAATAGTAATTCTGAGCTAACTACTTCAGTGGAAAAAAGTCTTCCCAGCTCACAAGCAATGACATACCTGGATTTGTCAGTGAAATACAGCCTTAAATTATTATTGCTCTGCTTGTGAGACTCGTAGGACATCTTCTGTGTTTGGTGACAGACTTGCCCTTTATTGTTATGCTCAGGTAAGCTGTTACCTGTTCTCTTGAAGCCAAATTGTTATCAAATAGTTTATAAGACCTCCCCAAATTGTAGTTTATCAGTGTTTTACAAGGTTCCTGAGACTGAGGAGAGTCAGACAAGGAGGGACCAAGTCAGTGTGGTGGTTTATTGTCCCCAAGGGAAGTGGTTGGTGTAGTAACCTCCTGATAGCTATGGTGTGTACTGATCTCTTCTGTAAGGTAATTGAAATCACTGTCATGAGGGGGGAAACTCCCTCAAAAATAAACCATGAAAATTCTCCAGAAGGTGAATAGCTTTCTGCTGGATTGGTGAGCTGAATCAGTTCAGCGAAGGATTCAGGTCTCGTTGCTCACAGAGATTGGCACAGCCAACAAGAATTGCATGAGGGAAAAGGCAGATTTTCCTTCGGTGACAGCAGATGTGAGGGTAATCTCACCATGAATTGAATGCTTATAAACAAAATTTTGGCAAATAATGACAAATAAAGCCTTTATTTCTAGCCTGTCCCAATCCTGGTTCCTTTGACTTGTTACTGTTCAAGCGGAAGTGTTGTGTGACTGTATGGTGTAGTGATGTGAGGAAATGAACTGGCTGAAAATAATCTTAGGAGCAAAAATCCCAGGGGTGGTTGTTATTCAGTCAAGTCAGTTGCCTAGTTTAGGAGCTGACCATGACCTGAGTGGTTATCAGCCATCCACTTTACAGGCAAGAACATAAAGATTACATGCCTGGAGTGCTTCACGAAGAACTAATTTTAGGGAAAACTGAATTGAAAAAAAGAATCCTTGTGCACAAAAGCTACACACTTATTTCAGCTGTATCTGTCTAATAAAAAATATCTCCTTAACCCTGCTGCACTTTCATCAGTGTATCATCATCCCTACCACTGATGAAGCTGTTAGCGCAGTATAATTGGATTAATTTTAAAAAATAACTGAGGACTGCCTTTTCCCTTGCTTGTTTTGGAAAGGTGCAAGAATATGAGCATTTTCATGATCCTGTGTAGGCTCTGAAATTACCTCCTTACTGAGACAGTGCTGTTCTGCAGATGGCTTTGCAAGAGCAAAGTCCTAATTGCTTGCTTTTAGAAAGTGAAAAGCTGTACTCAAAGACTTATTTTTCAGAACATTATTTCATACATGATCATTATCTCACTATAAAATTTGATTTTTTTTTTTTTTACTGCAAAGTACTTAAGCCAGTTTAGCACTATATACCTCTATGCATGATTGAATGCATCCTGTTTACTTCACAGTGAAACTGCTTCTGGCGGTTTTTAGGAGGTGGATAGATAATATGTATTCATTTGTTGCAACTATAAACTTGGGGTTTTTTAAGGTAAGACGCTTGATACATGGAACAATTCAAACGGTTTCTAGCAATTATGTGAGTTAATTTTGTGAGCAGAGTGAGAAGGATGTGTATGTACAGCTTGATGTACAGTACTTTGTCTTGAAGGTAGGGGAAAAGAAACCGTGTTCACTGCAATTGTGGAAGCATCCAAATTTTAGAAGGACATCAGTGGCGTCCGTTTTTTCCCACAGCATGCTGCAAGGTTGGAAATCATAATGAAATGCGATTCCATAAGTTAAACATAAATATCACCTTTCAGTTATTTTGCCTGGCTTTTGTCCACCGACAACTTATTTTTTCTGCCAACTTTCTCTGAAAGGTGATACGCAGAATACTTGTCTGCGTAGGCTGTGTGTGTGCAGGAAAAACATGTTATAATTTAAATGGTGTGGAACTTGTTCTCCTATTTAAAAACTTAAAAAAAAAAATGGTGAAAGCTTCCTGGAAACTATTACTTTGATTAATGTAATGATTGTTAAATGTAATTATTATTAAAATAACAATACTAATTCCATGGTGATTAAGACACTATTAAAATATCCAGATAATGTTCCAATTAGAGTAGAATAACAGAAAATTAAACAGGTAATTAAAAGCAACATGAAAATTCTATTATCTTCATAGCTCCATAATTTTCAGTATAGAGAAACTCGACTTTAAAATCTCTTTCTTTCGGGTATTTAAATCTGTAGAACATTACAGCACCAAGGAATCAAGAAGGTGTCAGTTGAACAATTTGGTCCAATTTGGAGTAGCCACTCCCAGAAAGATATGAGTGAGCTGCTAGAGTCCACAAACGTTGCCCCATAGCACATCCAACCTGTACTGGAAGACATAAGCTGGTACTGAATGGATGGTGACATCTTGGAGAGCTCTTCAGCCCTGTAAGTCATTGAAAGGAGGTGAAGAAGATCAAAAAATTTTAAGTGACCTTCTTAGAGTTGTCTTCTCTGCAAGAAATGCCATTTTTCAGAAGCATCAGATCTTGTATATCAACAGTTTTTCTGTCTGAGTGCTTGGTACATGTGAGCGTTTTAATATTCAAAGGGTAAAAGATTTTACAAACCTGAAATAATTCAATATCTACACATCACACAGTTAATATTATTATTTCCACTGTTGGGAACTGAAAAAAAAAAAAAAAAGACAGAGAAGTTGAGTTCATCTAGTGTCCTGCAAATTGATGTTACAATGTGTAGGTCAGGTGAGAAACTGGATGGCCATAAAAAATAGAAATCCTGATAGTAATACAGCTGTATAAGGTTGAAATAAAATAAGAAAATCCATTATATTTAAATTCCCAATCAACTTTCAAATGGGCAAACAGTTAAAATGATAACTAATTTCCCTTTTCTGGTGTTTATTTGTAGTTTGATGTTCTGCTTTAGCATGTATAATTACAGGCTGCCTCTTCTGCCTCTTCCTTTCTCCCTTTTTCACCAGGCACAGCAGGTGCTTTTTTGGCATCAAAGCCA